CCGAAAAGCTACACACCAATATCACTACTGGAAATAATTGGAAAAATCCTGGAGAACATCATTTTTATCAGTATCATTTACACGATACTGATAAAATATGCAGAAAGAAGAAGAATCATTCAGAAGGATCAATTTGGATTCAGAAAGGAAGAAATTTCAAACTCTAAAACAGAAAACAGAAGACAGGAATGGCCATCTTAGACATCAAAAAGGCATATGACACGGTCTGGAAGAAAGCCCTAATCTTCAAGATGGACAAAGCTAGATTACCTCACTGCTATGTTAACATATGCGACACATATTTAACGAATAGAACTTTTTAAGTTTCAGCCGACCAAAAAAAGTACAGAATTCAAGAAATCCAAGAAGTCGGACGCCACAGGGATGTCACAGGGCAGTATACTCCCGCCCATTTTATATAAAATATTTGTTTCAGATTTACTAACAGATGCAAAAACAAGTACAGCTCTCTACGCAGATGATACGGCAAAATGACCTAGGAAAAATTACAGAATTCACAGAAAAATGGAAAACCAAGATCAACACCCAAAAGGCACAACTCCTCATGTTTACTCAGGAGAAAAATCCACTAGTAGTCGAACTCACAATTGGAGGAAACAGTATTCAATCAGAAGACTCAATCAAATACCTAGTCCACCTCAACAGGAAACTCAACTTTACAAAGCACACTATACGATGTTTTGTTCTAAAAATAATTTTTTTAATACTAACAGACTAATTTGTTCAAATTTAATCAGTGTCTATGGCAAATTTTTTTATAGATAACAATTTAATAATGTTTATAATATAATGTCTATATTATTAGTTATACATTAAATAAATAAATAAAAAAATAACAATAGACGGCGACTTAGGAAAAGATTTGTACGTCCTGTAGTTATTAGGTAGTTTGTTTTGGACAATTTTGCAATGAAAATACGATAAATGTTATTATTTTAACGTTGTACCCCAGTCAAAAAAAGATAGCAAATTTTGTCGAGTATAAATGAATAAACCAAGATGTGTCTTTTTTCAAAACGCTCTATTTTGAGACTAAGTTGAATTTTTTAGAAGAGGTTATCTTCACTCCTTTTACTGTAGTAGGAACGCAAAATATTCCTAAAGCCTAAAAAGTGCTAATTATTCTTAAATCATTTTGTGTACATAAATGTATTTTTTTAACCTCTTTTTTAATATGTTAGTAGTACACGTCTTCAAGAAGAAAATAAGCCCCGGATTATTGAGATCCATTAAGTCAAATTATCTGGACCAACCTTAGAAATTAGCATATTTTTCAAAAATCGAATCCCAGACATTACAATCTTGTTTCAAACTTTCATCCGACCACTCTCCTATCTTGGCCATGATATCCACAAATATCCTAAAAACAAAATTTTAGCCATATCTTAGTAATAAATATACCAATTGGATTAAATTCCGGGCTATTCTTGATGGCAGACTGGATCTAAATATCCCACTAAGATCTGATGCCGATATTGACGAAGCAGTAGATCAATTAAATAGGATAATTAAGGAGCTGGCTGGCAGTCAACACCTACACAAACAAAAGTAATCGTACAAAAAGACTTACCCAACGAAATAAAAGAAAAAATCGCAGAAAAACGAAGACTAAGGAAAATCTGGCAAAGAACTCGAGCACCCCAAGTTAAAAATAGATTAACCCAAGCTACAGCAAGATTAAAAACATTGTTAAATAACAATAAAAACAATGACATAAAACGATATTTACAAAATCTATCTGCCACGGAAGCCTCCGAATACTCATTATGGAAGGCAACACGAAAAATTAATCGACCACAACTTTTCAATCCGTCTCTACGGGCCAGTAACAGACAATGGGCCAAAAGTAACAAAGAAAAAGCTACAGTCTTTGCGAAATACCTGGAAGAAGTGTTCCAATGACATAATCAAACCAACAACCCTGACGCAGAAGATAATATACAATCGTATGTAGAATCTCCGTATCAACTAGAAGCACCATTGGAGAAATTCACTGCCAAACAAGTTTTCAACAAAATCCAAACAGATCTGAATTCGAAGAAGTCCCCAGAGTTCGACTTAATCACTGCAAGAATTCTAAAAGAACTTCACAAGAAAGGAGTGCAATATTTAACACAGATTTTTAGCGCAATCCCAAGAATTGGTTACTTTCCCCCTTTTGTGGAAAGTTGCACGGATCATTTTAATGCGCAAACTAGATAAACCTGTAGAAGAAGTTAAGTCCTATAGACAGACCTATCAGTCTACTTTCAGTGATGTCAAAGGTTTTTGAAAAACTACTACTAGACAGATTACAGCCAATCCTCGTACAACAGCAGCTAATACCGAAACACCAGTTTGGATTTAGACAACAGCATACTACCATTTATTTTAATTTTTAAAGAATTTATTTTTAAAGAAGCCTTAGTTGAAGATACAGGCATTAAAATCAACGGAATTAATCTCAACAATCTCAGATATGCAGACGACACGGTACTTATTGCCTGCAATGAAGAAGACCTGCAACGACTTATAAATAGGGTAACCGAAGCATGTGATGAATATGGGCTAAAACTTAATACTTCTAAGACAAAATTTATGGTTGTTAGCAAAACGGAGTTACAACCAACGAACATCAGAGCGTATGGATTAGAGTTAGAAAGAGTCCACAATATTACCTACTTGGGTGCAAACGTTAACGATAACTGGGATATAAATAAAGAAATAAGAATACGCATTGAAAAAGCCAGAGCCGCCTTCTATAAATTAAAGAACATTCTAATTAATAGAGATATTACGTTAAATCTTAAAATCAGATTAATACGCTGCTACATATTCTCCACATTGCTGTATGGTATGGAGAGCTGGACCCTTACAGAGACATTAATGAAAAATTAGAGGCCTTTGAGATGTGGATTTATCGACGAGTATTGCGGATAAGTTGGGTTGATCGAATAAGAAATGAAATAGTTTTACGTCGAATAAAAAAGAGCAAAGAAATAACAAAAACGATAAAAATTCGGAAGTTACAATATTTCGGTCATGTAATGAGACATCCAGAGAGGTATAACCTTCGCCCAGGCCGACGAAGAACATCCTTGCTATGAAATCTCCGAGAATGGTATCAAGAAACCACCCTTAATTTATTTATATATTATAAGGTTATTATTGCCAATATGATCGCCAACGATCGATAATCGGACAGGGCACTGAAAGAAGAAGATGCTACCATTGAACAAATTTACGTAATCTGTAATTCCATAAACAAAGCCTTAGAAGAGAAGAAATACTGTTCTGAAGCCTTTTTGGATATCTCGCAGGCTTTTGATAAAGTCTGACACACTGCCTTTTATACAAAATAATACAAGTCCTTCCTCTCAACTACTTTCTAATCCTTAAGTCCTACCTTTCTGACCGGCATTTCCTTGTAAATATAACGGATCAGTGCACTAACTTATATTTAAGTAATGCTGGAGTACCCCAGGGTAGTGTCCTTAGACTTGTTCTCTACCTACTTTACACAGTAGATCTTCCTACAAGTCAAAACATCGTCACAGCCACATACTCAGACGACACAGCAATTCTTGCGACTCACTCAAACCCGTATATCACCTCACAACTGCTCCAGACCAATCTCGACAAAATTAAGATTTGGTTACAAACATGGCGAAAGCAAGTCAGTACATATAACGTTCACTAATCGAAAAGGTACATGCCCAACCGTCTCATTGAATTACCAAATATTACAACAAATGGATGATGTAAAATACTCAGGTATGCACTTGGACCGCAGATTAACGTGGAAGAAACACATATTCATGAAAAGATAAAAGTTGGGTCTGAAACTCAGTAAAATGTACGGGCTAATAGGAAAAAAATCACAACTGAATTTGTACAATAAAATCCTAGTATACAAGTCAGTGATAAAGCCAATATGGAGCTATGGGATCCAACTGTGGGGATCTGCGTCAAGATCCAATATCGACATTCTGGAGAGATTCCAATCGAAGACCTTCCGCATTATCACAAATGCACCGTGGTACATACCCAATGAATTCATCAACCGCGATTTTCAGATGAAGACTGTCAAAGAACATATTACCAGTTACTCTAAAAATTAGGCAGACGACTGTAATACCACCCCAACAGGCTAGCGAAGAACCTTATGAAGCCCCAAGCAAACAGAAGACTAAAGCTTCTTGTTCCAAGCGATCTACCAACAAGATTTAAAATTTTTAAATTATATTAGAGTCACAAATAATTTTGTTACTAAAATTATGATTTAATAGGTTATTCTCACTGGATAGTCTCCTGCAAGTCTCTTGTTATATAATTAAACAATTTACTTATTTTAATCCTTATTACAGATTGTAAATAAATGGGATGTTCAGTAAAAAACTGTTATTCAAAAAATCTTATAAACAATGAGGACATCTTTTACACACAATCCAAACACAATAAGACGATCAAGTTCAGGTACATTTAAACCAATTTTAATACATTTTAAAACAGTTATTGACAATATTCAAAAACAGCAACTTTGTTATTCATTTTGAAATAACTTTTTTGTTTATTAACCGATTTTAAGTTAGCGTATCTCATTTTGCGTATCTTTTTTTTGTGAAAAAGTTGTTCGTTGACTTCAAATCTCTAAATAGGCAAGTTTTTAAGTTATGAGCAAAATAATGAGTGTAATGTTTTGATTGGTTATGTAAAAATAGTTCCACTAAAAGATTGATGAATCCCTAGGTGAGAGTCGTTTTGTAATATCTCATACTGCACATTTCAACTGTCAAACCCGTCTATACAGTTGTAACGAAAAATGTTTAATTTTACTAACTTGATTGGTCTATTAGATAATATGTCTCGATCTTAGTTTTTGTTATCTACTATAAATGGTAAATTAAAGATATTTCTTATAAGGTACTTAATTATGAGAACCAGCCAGGTGGGAACCCTGCTTAAAATATACTCGGGCACTACTGTCTACCACATTTCACCTGTTCGTAGGAGAAAAAATGAAGAAAGATGACGCTGGCGGTATTGGCACCGTCGTGTTTTGTTTTATTTCAGACATTCGGCGCGGTCTTTCTTCAACCTCGTCGCCTGCCTCAACATCATCTCCATCTGTAACGCACACACACATACGGACTTATTACTATTTATAGTATCATCAACATAGCTGCCCGAAGTTTCCGCGTATCATCACAATAATAATGAACTACTCAAGTCCATGTTGCATCATTGGTGTAGTTTAGAAACTTCTATTAATACATAAATGTGCACAAAAGACTTTATTTAAATGTTAGATCTCATTTTACAAAATATCTATTTTTACGGGTATAAATTATAGTAAATAGGCTTTTGTACAAATTAGTTTATGTGAAAATGAGCCATAAACTAGACTAATTCGCAAGAATATTCCCACTGTTCCTATTTTATTTTATAGAAATAAAAAAAGTGATCTCTTTATAACTCATAGTTTATAAATTTTAGAATGTTAGAGTTTATAGAAATAAATTTAGATACCCAAGAATTGTTTCGAAAAAATATCGACTATTTTTTAAATAGTTTCGACAGAAAAATACAGTCTTTATAAAATATACCACCTAAAAGTAGAATGGTTCTTCCAAGAGCCTTCTTTCAGTCGTTAAGTTGTGTTTTAGATATGTCGATAATTATTGCATGCAATTTGAGACAAATCTGACAGGTGCCAGGATTATATTAGCCAAATGTGCACTTTTTATGAAATTAAACTGGTATTTAATTGAACATGACATTTTAATTGACATCTAAACGATTGTCTTTTGAGTGACAGTATTTTGTATATTTATTAAGTGGAGTGTATCTAATCATTTTGCGTAAATACGTTATTTAATTTCAGTCATAAGCGGCTCGTTTAAGAGGAGCATTGGACATTTTTATTCCCAACTTTTTTGTCTTTAAATATTTTTGTCTTTAAATATCTATCAGTTAACAGATTTTTTATGAAACAATGATGCTCTCTGTGACTAACAATTTTTTAAAAAATCGCTTTGTACTTTTCATGTATGCATGCATAACAAATTCATTTCTAATTGTGACGGATGGCCACGGTTGGCCCTTTTTTTAAAAAAATCATATTTTAAAAACATGTTTTTTTCTTATAAAATTTTAGAAAAGTAAAAGGTATAAACCTACTTTAAAGTCAAAATAAGCACAACTCATATCAGAGGATGAAAAGGTGTTACATTCACTTGAATGGCCCAATTTTACCAAAATTTTACGTCTTTTTAATAGTTTTCTGCAATTTATCATTATTTTCTTAACCCAAATTCCATTCTGAATATAAATTTGGATTCCCTATAAAATTTTACATAAAATAGTGTTTTAGTATGATTTTTCATCAACGAATTAGATGTCTTGCCATTTAAAAAAATGAATGTCTTGAAATTTTTACAATTATAATTATTTATTAGTAAAATATTAGGTACATCTGTATAACATAAAATAATACAAAATAAATTACTAAAACTCTATATTTATTTAATCTGAAATTTTAATTTTAATTAATCTATTTCTCTGAAATTGTAATTATTACGCAAGAATTTGTGTCCTGAAAAAAGTCAAAAATCCTAAAATAGAGTTATTAATTTTATTTATCTTAATATTTTCTTATAATTTACTAAATTTTAATTTATTATTAAATATTGAAAATTTCCAAATAATATGAATTCTAAATAAATTACTAAAACGCTATATCTATTTAATCTTCTCTCTGAAATTTTAATTTACACTCAAGAATTATGTGGAAAAAAAGCTAAAACTACGTAATTTATTTTGAACCTATTATTCCGCAGGTGTAATAATTTACAACTAATAAATTACAACTGTGACTATTGCAAGATAATGATTTTTTTCATCATTAAGAAATGATGAAAAAAAAAAGTGTATTTTATTATGATTTTGATTTCTCAAAATCATAATAAAATACACTAATTAATATAAAGAAAATAATAAGAATTTGTAGAAAGCTGTCAAAAAAGAATTTGGGAAAAATTGAAATTTGGTCATTCACGTGGTGAATGTAATACCATTTCATCATCTGATATATGAGCTGTGATTTATTTTTACTTTAAAGAGGGTTTTCCAAATGTTCGATCACAGTTAGGCTAATTTTAACCCCGGAATCATATTCAGTGAACAATTTTACACCAAAAATCTATTTTTGGATATTTTCTTGGGCATCTAGAGCCCGCTATACAAAAAAAGTGTTAAAACAGGAAAAAAAATTGAATGGAAAAAATTTAATTACCTATATAGACCGCCATTTTGGACCTAGAAAGTTAAAATTTAGTAAATCATCATATTTATAGTACAGAATATGCCTGCAAAATTTAAACTAAATGGAGAGGAGTCGCCTGACCAACTTTGGAGTTGCCTCTTTGCATGATGTGGAATTACCCTACTTCTAAAATAAACCTAAACGTCATTCAGGGTATGTCTCAAATAAAAGCTCTCAATAAGAGGATCAATTTTGACATATCATCAAATTTTACTAGTGAGTGGGTGAGTGAGGTTAAACTAATTAATACAAATATAAAGGAATCATTAACTATTTTAGCAATTTAACTATAAAGAAATGTTATTAACAAGATAAATTTATACACTGAAATATACAATAAATAAAATAAATAAATCCACTAACGGAACTAATGAAACCACAAAGCCAGATATGTTTTCTTTTAGATAGGTACAGTGGGCAATTCTGCATTTAGAAGATCCATTATCACAATAGTCCAGTCGAGCTCTGTACACAAATAGCATAAGTTGGATGCAGTGAGATTTAGTCAAACCTTAGAATTTTGCAAAAATGTCTCCGAAAGATTGTTTATTACTAAAATTTGAATATGTAACAGCTAAAAAAGTTTTAGAAATAAATTTGTTCGAATTAAATTTCTTTTTTAAAATGGACTTTGCAAATAGTAAATAAAATATTTCCAGTGTTAAGTGAAGATTCGCGAAAAAAATTGTAAGCCAACTGGAAAATTTTACTTGAGAAATAAGAAAATATTTTAAAATTTGTTTTTTCAATTCTCAAAATTTGAGAATCTTCAAAACGTTACTGCGTAGAAAACTATTTATTATATGAATCGCATATCTTTTACGCATAAAAAGGTAAATATAATTCTAAACTAACTTGGAAAAATTAAAGTCCCTTGATTAGGTGAGCTTGGGGATGTTTTTAAGAGGCTAAAAAATTAATATTTATTTATTTATTTAGTTCTTTGTACGATTATTTTTTATTTCTACGTACTGGAACTTTTTTATTAAATTATGCAAGCAGACTTTGATAGAAAATTTAATTGCGAACAATTTTAACATTTAACATTAATGTAATAATGTTTATGATATAATCAGGATAAAATGTTAAAAAGTAGGAGTTTGTATGCTGTTTTTTTTTTATCCAACATTTTTCATAAATTTTCGAGAACTGGACCACTTTTTAGTAGGAAGATAATAAAATTATATTTCTAAACACCTTCCTGAGCTATTTTTACAACAATCTAAGGGCCAATTCACTACACACCACTCTAAACAGGTCTCCTCTGGACTAAAATCTATATTTTATTTTATTATTTATCAAAATTACAAGTAGCGGGGCCTTTAATCCTAAATTAGGTTTATACCACAACATTTGAGCTTCTTATGTTTAAAATAAGAAGCTCTATAAAAGTCGACTTCAGCAGCTATGTTCTGTTCCAAGGGGCCTACCTGTTCTTATGTGAAAATATAAAGAAGGCACTGCCTTTTGGAATAGGGCGTATTTTCTTAACAATGGTGACCTCGGACAATCGCCTAGGTCTTGCCGTCTCTTTTGTTACAACTTCTGCCTCATCGTCGTCCACTTCTTCTACATCATCCTCTAAAAATAATTGTTATTTTCTCGCTCTAATATTCATTTAAATTTGAATATACCTTAGAATACCTTAGAAAATTTTAAAAATACATAAAATTATTTTTTCTACTTTCTAGCTAGTTACAAAAACGACCAAATATACAAAAAATAAATTGTTTACCACAAAAACAAATAAGAAATCATTAAAATATACGATAATGTAACTAAAGGTACCAAAAATGTAAAATGAAAAATATGAAAGCACCAAAAAATTATAAACAACAGTATAAAAAATGAATGCTCCAAGTATAGAAACACACAGAAAATTAGTCAAAACAAGAATAGAAACTTGAAGCAAATACTATACTGTATTGAGGAGATAAATATTAATGACAGCTGAGGTTTTTTACATGACGCAGGAACAAACTTTAGAATTAAAAAGAAACAAATGTATGGAAGTTGTATGAAGGCATATAATTGCTAAAAGCTTCCCTCACAGTCTCAGGCAAGGACGGATGACTACTTACTTCCCTGGTATATAAGAAAAATAGCGTCTACAGAAAACTAGTTACTACTCATATGACCAACCTAGGTATAGATTGATAATTTATACTAAGGAGTTACTCGTGATATTTATGGAGAAAACCAGATGGATGGTAATAAACACGATCCAAGCGAAACAATAACAAATGATTAAGTATAAATATCAAGTTACATAATTAATATCAGCAAACTGATATTTCAGATGCCTTGGAACATAACTAGAAATATGCAGACACTTAAAAAGCAGAAAGCTTAACATAGCTATTCGAACTGAGATAAAGAAGCAACCAAGGGATACGTTGTAGTGTTGCTGGTGTGATACATCAACTATGAAGCAAAAATATACACAGAACAAGCTACACATTCATGAATGAACGAATAGTTGTTTTATTATTTAAAATAGAACGAAAATATATCAATATAACAACATACATATACAATAATAACAATATAAAAATATAACAAAAATCAACTTCGGTCATTTGTTCAATATTTTTAGCCTATTCTGAATAAAAAAGGTCCTGACTAATTTTTTAAATTATACATTATTTTAAGTTTTAAAGCTAAAGAACGCACATAAAAATTATTATTTTTTAATTTTAAAACTACCTAAATTTAAGTAGAAATATTCTTCTAAGGTCCCGAAAAGTAATTATAACTTTCAAAACATTGGTTTTAATTGTTGATTGTTAAAGTTGGGATTGTT